CCCTAAATATGAATATAAGATTTCAGTTATAATAAATATTTACTCAACAATATATGTTGAGGTCAATAATTTAAAAGACCAATTAGTTTAATATTAATTTATATAATACATATATTGCATGGGTACATATACTATATTTATTTATTGACATGTTGATGTGCTAAGGACATATTGGAATTCTGTATATCCCTTAGAGAAATTGGCTCTGAATAGGCAGGCTCATTTAGTTTCCTACGCTTTGGGTCACATAAGAAAAAATTATTAGTTCCTCATTTTACGAGTCCTTCTCTAAATGAATAATTTCTAAACTCATTGATAAGACATTTTTGTTATAACTAAGGGTATCAATTTGGTATTTTTGAAGAATAATGCCATGTTTCTGATTTAGAAAGCAGGAGTGCAGCTTGTTTTTATAATTCTGAGTGCCTGTATTATCCATAACAAGCACAAATGTCATTTTCTAATTAATGTTAAGAAAGCAAGCACCTAAAATTAATCTTCTCAACATCGTTCAGTTTTGGAAATACAAACTATGTCAACTGACTTCCTTCCCTAGAAGGGCTGCCACTGTTGTGACATTGTGTTTCATTTTGTAACCCATCTGCTACGCAGGCCAGATATGCATTTTCTGGATGCAATCTGTTGATTTCCACTGGTTTTATATTTTATGAAATATAAAAATGGTTTACTGTTCAGTAGCCTCTATTGACAAGTAGGTGACAAAGTCTTTGGCACACTAACTAGTGTAGTGTCCTGTGGTTTGTTCTGTGCTGTGCCCTGTGTTGCGTGATGAGTGCGAATATGATGTATTTTGCATGTAGAATGTATGTTCTCATGTTATACATCTTGTGTTCAAACTTTCTAAGTGGTAATTTGTTGTCGAGTCAAAGCGAATTCTACTGCATGCCAGTTTCGTCAATTCTGTCCAATTTCCAAAGCTTTTTCAGTTTTGTGTTGTCGACAGCAATGCAATTATTCCCGTCGACATCATGGTAGAGAAAATGAAAAATTTCGGCATGATACCATTGTCATAACTTCTGGAAACCTTTCCAATAATTCATGAAAACTCATTTTAAGTCAGATTTATAAATTAGAGTATTTCCTTAAGAATTTATTCTAGTCTAGTAACATCTACCAGAGTCGAAAATTTCTTAAAATTTGTTAATTAAAAATTCAAATACATAGAGTCCATTAGTATTAAAATACAAATACTTTGAAAGGATAGTATTCAGTTACGATTCATTAGAAAAACAGTATACTTAAAAGAAAGAATAAACCTCTCGTCTGTCTTTGCCTGTGTCAACTGTAATGTGAATTCCCCTGTAAAAGTGTTTATGGTGAGGAAAAGAAGAACTGAGAGGATCAAATTCCTAGAATTGGAGAGGAAACAGATCTGCTTCATGGAGGTTCATACTACTGTATTCTTTTGTTTCTACTTGAAATTCCCCTTTAAAACAATAAAAAGCTCTTCAAATGAATTAGAGCACACAAACACTCTCTTATACTCATACATTCACTTTCTCGTTCTTGAAAAGGGTGGAAAGGGAGGCATTGCCAGCTAGATTATCTGTTACTTTTTTTCATTCACGTTGACTTTTTTCTTAGGCGGCCATCTAGTGGCCGAACTGTGTAAAACAACCAAGACGAAGAAGTTTTGTAGGCAGGATAGTGGGTAGGGAGAAAATGTGATAGACAGGAGTTGAGCCTAAGGGGGGGAAAAAAAAGGAAAAAGGAATACAATGAAATATTAAATTAATATAAAATAATAATTTAAAGTTAAAACACAGAGGAAAAAAGTTTCTAGATGGTTCATAAATGCCATACCATTTTTTTTTTGGTATTTTCTATAGATTTAAACTCATTTAATAATAATTACTAAAATCAATTGCCACAGTTATGTGTAAACTACAACAGTTAGTATTTTGAGTATGGAATTAACTGATACATTTTGGTCTAGGGATTAGTTATTTAGTACAAGTGCTCTCACAGTGGAATTTTTGTCACGTTTCAACTTCATTGATTTATTGCTGATGCAATATTCATCTTTCCCATCATGATTTCTATTTCTATATCTTTTTCCAGTCAAGCTTACCTTCTACCACCTTCTCTTTCCTCTCTCTTATCTAGATAATTATAATGGAGATATTATTTCTCATGGAGGAAAAAGATTGTAAGAACTGTAATATGAGAAAGTTATTTAAAATTATAATAAGGTGAGTTGAAGGTATATGACTTATGCATCAATTTTATAGTCCATTGGGGCCCATCTCACTTTCGTTTTCCACCTAGTTCTTTCTTTTTTTTTTAATGTATTTTAATAGTTTAAGAACAATTGCGATGAATTTCCTAGATCAAAGGAACACTCAAAGTAAAGTTTTCCCAGGGATTTAAACTTAGTCATCAGATTGACTGGATGGTCCTGGCCCCTCTCACTATAGGAAGTTTATGTGGAATATCATTCTGTTTTCACAGTTCCAGCCCTAAAATCTCTGTCACAGAACACTGATCCTGATTCAAGCGAAATAGTTTTTCTGGACGACGCCTGGGGACCTCAGACTCAAAGCTTTGGTAATATTCTCTTGCCTTATAGCAGAGTAAGAAATCCTGCCTCCTGCCTTCCCATAAAGGAAAACAATTTCCTCTTGTGCGACCCAGCTGATCCTACCATTGTCATACACCAGGGGAAGATCTTCAGGGAGCTGACTCTCCAGTTTAAGAGTCCAAAAGGAACTACTGTTCTTTAGGTTCCTATTTTGAATCAGACGTGGAAATCGATTAGCCTGATTCCTCTTATCGGTCTTCGGTCAACTCTAGAACGTTCTTCCACTCATTCAAGTTTAGTCTCATGCAATTCAGTCCCATTTTTCTAGTTTGTATGAAGCAGAGGCAATGAGATGATGGCTTCCTTGTTTTAGCTTTAACAGTAATGTTTTCTTTTAATTCGATGCTAGGTAAAGTGTTTATCAGTGACTGGGGAAAGACTGACTCTCCTAACTTTTAGGAATGAGCTTCCTAATTCAGCACAATTATTTCCTGCAACCAAAGAAATCAGATTATTCAATCACTTGCTCAAAAATTTTAGGCTGGTAAAACGGTAGGCTGGACTACCACTGATATTTATATTTTTTTACATGCTCTTGGCTGTGTAGAACCAATCTATGACATGTAGCTTTATACGGATAAATAATATAAATTTAAAAATAAACATTTCACAGTTTTATTTTTATTAGGCGTGACCACCTAAATTAGTATAAGTATTTCTACTCTTATTATTTCTACGCTTACTAAAAGCACCTTAGAGATAAAAAAGAAATGTAAACATGTCTTTGAAATGCTGTGAAACACAGAGTCCAAAAGTACACATTGCTTTGTATCAGTAGAGATTATAAGATAATTTCCATTCGCACCTACCAGTGCGCTTACTGTGCGAACTGTTAAAAACAAGGTTCTAACACGTTCTATTTCTATTTGTTTGCAAAATGGGTGTTTTATGTATATAATTAATAAATATTATTTGATTCTTAATGCAGATGCTTTGAAAACAGTTGCAAGATAATGAAACATAGAGTCCAAAAGTACACATTATTTTGTATCAGTAGAGATGATAAGATAATTTCCATTCGCACCTACCAGTGCGCTTCGTGAAAGCCAACCTTTACAAGCAGGGGGGTTGGGGATAAAGATCATAAAAAGTAGATCGTCAAAGATCACGGGTAAGCAAGTTTAACACCAATCCTAGTACTGTGATTTACTGAAGGTCCCTTTTTCTTTATTTGTATCGAAGCCTAGACGACTTGCTCAGGTGTGGGGTGACTTTTGCTGCCAACATAGTGGCCATGGACAAGGAGAGCACCATGAGTGTCGAGGAAGACTACATGGCCGACGCCAGGACGATCGTGAGCGTGCAGACCCTCTTCAGCTAAGAGTCTGATAACCCAGCCCTGTCACTGACTTCCTGCCGAATACCTGTGAGACAGCCGACTCTGCCTCTGTGGATAAGGAATGAACATGAGATACTTAGTGCTCAAACTACCTTCATTCGTTTGATCATAAAAAAACTAATGGCTGACTGGCACTGTGTGAAGTTAAATTTTTAACCAGGTCTGTTATTTTTTAAAAAACAAATACTATAAGAAGTCTATTTTCTTGTATTAGAAGTTTAACAATAACAAATTCGAAAAAAATCACATGCAGCAGCAGCCCTGATTTGCGAGGGACCGTGCATGTTTTAATTTGGGTTTTATGCCCAGCCGTGGCCGAAGGTATGCATTTACATACTGGGTAACCAGGACTGAAAGGTTGCAAGGCGATGAACAGGTCATTTACCCATGTTCGGAGCCAGGTCACAACCTTATCCTCATTATCTTCCCATCTGCTTGAATTAAACTCACACAGCGAGGGATTCCCACTACGGTCATGTTTGGAGAAATCCTGATAAAGGCACATGCTACAAGCAAAGTCAAAATCAACGATAATAAGTCAAGACATCTGTGTCACCTGGGATGATTCCTCCTGAAACCGTTTTAAAATGTAAATATGCAAAATATCATTGTTTCAGGTTTATGACTTTTGCAGATGTTTAAAGGAAATATCTGAGCTTCCAAACTAGGCAGGTAAAAAAAACCACGTGAACTCGGTCACGGCCACCTCCCCTCGCTGGACTCTCACAGCTTCAGATGGTAGCAAAGCGCGTCCTGAGGGCAATTATTTGCTTATAGTGTGAGTTCAGAATGCAGAAGACAGAGTCTGGATGGGAGCCCCACTTACGCTGACTGCTTATTACACAATCTTCGGCAAATTACTTTCCTTCTCTAAATCTCAGTGTCTTAATCATAGGTTGTTAGAGATTTAAAAATATACGTGTCTGGTAGTTTTCGACTACTCAATAAATGTTAGCTACCATGGTTGTTAGTGGTAAAATGACCGCGTCCAGGTGGCAGAGAGGGAAAGCCACAGACCCAGGAACCACACAGCACAGACTTCATGTGGCATGACCTCTATCCCGAGTCTTGGCAGACGCCTAGTAGCTCTGTGACCTCGAGTGGGTGTCTTAACCTCGTCGAAATGACTTCCCTCATCTATAAAACGCCTACGAGAAATCATTAACCCTTTTGCAGTGTTCACATAAAGACAGGAAACCAGGTATATAAAGACTCTGTCACAGCATGTGGACAATCTATGCTGCTCTTGTATAAGAACCTCTTGTTCCAGAAAGAGAAATCGATCCTCAAGTTATGGTGACATGGCAGTTCATTTAGGACAGAGCTAACGTGTTGTTGAGCTATAGTAAATAGTACAAATAGTACATTTAAAGATAGCGTAGCACAGGTTTAAACCATGGCAGACAGAAGCAATTCTTTTTTCTCTAGAGAATGAAAAAGACAATTACAGGGTAGAAAATTAATTCAGAAAGCTGAGATTTATGGCCAATGAATACATTATAATAATACTTTTTTTTTAAAAAAAACTTATGCTTGACAAAAGCTAATTATAATTTCGAAAAGAGAGGATATCCTGGGTGTTTTTGATGAGGCATGCCGTTTTAATTTTCAACTTACTGTGAGTTTATTTCTATCATGGTGACATTTCTATTGACTTTTATTACATATTGTGTGAATGAATTATTTTGATTCCAAGATAATAATACGGCCCATCTTGCTGAGAGGCGCAGAGGAGGCAGATGATCACCGAGAATGAGCTAACTGACAGGAATAACTAAAGGCAGCTCCACACGAGGTCACTGACCACGGAGGCTGCCCTGCCTCAGCTCCTGGCTGAGGAGGCAAACGCATGTTGAAAGAATGAACAATGCACGGATGACTCAGTCTGGGTCCCTCGACTGTTAAGATTACCTACCTTCAGCAGAATATTTTAGAAATCATGCATTTTTTATCTGCATGTACACATGTGCACTGAAGAGTTTCAAACGGAAATTTCGAAAGAATTATTAGATACCCGAATCGTAAAGTAAGTCCTTCTGTCTTCTCTTTTCCATGCTTGGAAAGGCGTGACGGTCTCCCTTCCGTATCCTCAGTTACCGGTTCCAGGAACCCCACTGATACCGATGCTCAGGTCCTTATAAAAAATGGCCTAGTATTTACATATAGCCTACCACATCCTCCCATGTGCTTTAAATCACCTCTATGATATAATACTTAATACAATGGAAATACTGGGTAAGTAGTTGTTTTACTGTACTGTTTAGTGAATAATGACAAGAAAAAAAAAAAGACCGTATGTTCACTACAGACGCACCCATCGTGGGCCTAACTATACAGCACACAATGTGAAACCAGAATTTTCATGAAGCAATTCCTAAGTTACTAATCTATGCATGCTAAACTTGGCTAGTTTTACCTAATAAAAAAGCAAGACACCAATAGGTCTCTATGATAAGTGAGAATATCACTCATATAGATAAATGACCCAAACTGGGCAGACCTGGCAGCTTCATTTCACAGGGGCAGTCAGTTACCTCTCCTGAGGTCACTCCACATTCCTTGACTGTGACAGCTGGCCAATCCAGTCCCTACCATGATACTTTTTTTTTTCCGTTTGACTTAAGGATTTAATGAAAATACTTTACTATGCTTTTAAAACTTTCTATAAATGTCGTTTACCATGATTCTTGATGATTTCAATAATTCCACATAGGTAATCTTCTCAAAATCTCTCCTTGGCCACTGGTTCTCATGGCCACAGCCTTTACCTTGAAGCACCAACAATTTTACCCTCCATAGTCTTTGCTTCAGTCAACTCTCTGAGGACGCTACTTATTTCTACCTGTTTTCTTCTAACACCCCCAACGCTTCACCATCATTTGTCCCCACTGGAAGCTACTATCCCCTGATTCTACTGCCTTTCCACTGCCCTGAGTCACCTGAGGGCTTTTCTTCTCGCCTTACTCAGGCTCAGTTCCAACACCCACTGGTACGATCGCTCCTGTGGTGAAGCCGACACAGATCGTTACTGAGTATCTAGTACGGGCCAACTCTGATCTCGACTCCATTTCCTTTTCCTCATTCCCAGTTCCTCGTCCTTCCACGTTCTCTACCCGCCACCTTGCATGACATTCCCTAGCGGCAGAAGACAACCTTCCAGAGGTCGGATCCAGTGATCCTTACAAGCAAGCGTCAGGCACACGGAAATCCAGTCGCAGTGGCTGGATACCAGACTGTTTCGGACTCAAGCCGAAGGCCGCATCTCCAAGGGAACTGGACTCTTACACATCGAGGAGGCAAAAGCCAAGAGTGTTAGAAATGATTAAGGAAGACAATACAGGTGACAAAAAACAAACTTCAACACTTCATATTTATGGGACTGTTGACACTACTTGTCATCTAAAACAGGTGTTTCATGTACCTAAGTGTGTCTATATACCTATATGTTAGTGTACACCCTCATTATTCAGAAATATCATTCTCAGACCCGTGACAGATTGACATGTATAGTGTAATACACGACCTGAGTATTTTTACTAGCGAGTAAATATGAGAAACATTTTCCCAATTTTTACGGCTTTATGTTTGTTTGTTTTGCTTTAATATACTCGTTAGCTAGTTTGAGTTCTCCCAGTGGTCTGTGAACTAAGTATATGGTCTGTTTTTTATCTTTATATTGGTTAGCAGAACTGGACACGTCAAAAATATTTATTAAATAAGCTAATTCAGGCAAAGGACTATTCCATAGCTATTTTATACATCTTCACAATTATACTTACATCACTGAGTCAGAACATAAACTAACTGCATAAGTTTTAAGTAGAACAAACTATATTATTTTTCAATTACCTTATTGCTTTATTATGACCTTCGTACCTGGGGAAAAGAGACTTATATCATTTGATTTCTAAAATGTTATATACAGAAAGTACATAGGTCATATTAAGGCTCAGAAACAGATTCACAGTATTAGCATTTTAAAGATACATAATTAAATTTATTAGGTAACCAAATTAGTAAATATAAAATATTATAACTGAATACAAACAATATTATAATGATATAAAGGGCACTGCAAAAAAATGTTTTATTATTTTAGTATTATTTAGTTCTAGATTTTCACTAGGTGGCAGACTTGGATAATGCATTCAGTTTCTCAGTTTAAGACAGCATAAATGGGACAGGCTTATCGATTCAGAACAGAACAGACATGTCACATAAATTTTGTCGTCTTATCTAATTTCAACTCCACGAGTGACTTAAATGCAAGGAGTAGGTCAGTCGATTGTATTATCAGTTAACAGTCTAATTTTAAGGCAGGAATTTCACTTTGCTTCTTTTCACGTGTTGGAGACCAGAGCTTCCGCTTTCGGTTGAGTCTAAGTGTATTAAATGACGTCGTACCTGACGTCGTCTGCCTTTCTCTTTGGTGTACTTGACCTCTTCCTGTTTGGGGTAATTGACAAGTTGTAGAGCATGCGAGCTCCCTCTCTGGGCCTTCTGCACCCCAATTTTAGTTGAGGTTTCCTTTATTAATTTTCACAGTGACATTGTTATTTTAAAATATTTCTTACATACTTTTGGAACTCCCAGATGGTAAGCGATTTGGCAGATGGTGCCATTTCTTGGGCTTACCAGATGGAACTGTGCCGGCCGAAAAGTCAGCTGATATTTTTCTCCATTGGGCCACTCTTTTAATTTTTAAAAAGTTTCTGAAAAAAACGAACTTTAATTGATCAAATTTGCTATCATTGGTGACTTTTGGGAGGGAAGAACTTCTAAAAAATACAGATTATATGGTGTTTCTATATAAACTAGTTAAATTACAACACCCTGTTCAAGATTTTATCTGCTCAACCAAAAATGCACAAACAAGAATTGAGAAACGACTTTGTTCTAACAAAGATTTACTCATTAATAAAATATAATTAGTACTGAGAGGAAGACTTTGCCTTTCTAGCTGCCAGAATTCCATAGGAGAGCTACGACATAGATGAAACCAACCAAATTTTAGTGCAAGACGTCGTATAATAATCCAGGTGAGCCAAACGCCAAGGAGGCAATGTGCAGAGAACGACTCTGACTGTGAGCAATTTCAAAACTTCTTTTCCATTAGATTTGAGAGGAACTTTAAATCATGGTCGGGACATCAAAAGGAGGAAAGTAAGCGGGGAGGAAAGTGCATTTCGGCAGAGAGAACAACGTGAGGAAACAAAGCTATGGATATAGTCGCGCATCCCCACGAAGAAACGGCGCCGACCGCGCCTCTGACGCTGCGCGGGTCCCTCACAAACCGCCTCTTGGGCTTCCCCACGCCCTGCTTTACGGAACCTGAGACTTAGCATTTCCTTAACCCACTCAAGGGAATGGAACTATCGTAAACACCGACGAACTGCACAAATCAAATCATTCTCAACATTAAAAATCAGCAAAAGAAATTATGTTCTGGTTGTCGTTTTGCTGATATTGTTTCGAGCAAACAGTGCTGCCTACCTAGATCAAGACACGCAATGATATTTGCTCCCCAAAGGGAGGGGAAGCCGCACAACACTGGCTTTATCTCTTCCCCTAAGGAGTAGATTTCATGAGACACCTGATAATAACAAAGTTTTCAATGGCTTTAATTAGAGAAGGCCCAGATATCTGTCCATTAAGACAACCAAATGATATACGAATTTCACAGATAACTCTGAAAGCGTACTTTTAAGAAGGTTTCAGTGTCTTAGATGAAGGGACAGGTGATCGGGGACGGCCTGGCCACAGGCTGGGGAACGACAGACCTTTTCAGGTGGCAACACCAGCAGGCCCACCCTCCCTGGGGGAAGGGACAGGCCTGGCAAACTGTGGCTCAGCATTAGGGAGGCAGAGCTAGGAGACGTAAACCCCACCATAGGGGGCTTGACCTCAGACACGGGGCTGCACCTTAAGTGTGTTCCTCTCTAAGGCACCCACATTGGCTCAGGCACGCAGGAGGAGCCGGCACCCTCAATGCTGGGGCAAGCTTGGCTGGAGACACAGGTTTGTTTTTGAGCCGCTAGCGGGACATTTCTATCCTGCAGATTTTCAGTCAGTTCTCATGACTGAGCTCAGGGGTGTGGGTTCCGCCTGCTGCTGGGAATTCTAAGGGGCCATAACTGAGCTTAGAGACATGTTGTGTGGAGAACCTAGCCGATCACCACCTGATCCTCCCAGGCTGCCTCCCAGGATCTCAAAATATCTGAACCAGGGGTGCTACGCACGGTACACAGATGCCAGCTAGGGATCGGATCGATAACAGCAGCAATAAAAAGGCACTTGCTATGATATTATGCAGCCCCTCTTTCTGGGCGAGGAAGTGTGTGTGTGTGTGTATGTGTGTGTGCGCGCGTGCGTGCGCACGCGTGCGTGAAGGAAATTAAATCCTTAGCTGTAGGACATGAGCAAATTCTCAAGATCCTCTGAGAACTGTATCGGTTGAGCTTTGGCCTCAGTTCACTATAATATATAATATAATGTTATTTCGATGAAAATGTTTGCTCTCCTCGGAAGTTCACTGTAGCTAGATCTGACATTGGAAATCGCATGCTCTGAGAACAGGGAGCCACAGGAGATGGAAGAGCTCACATTAGGGGTGATAAGCTCATCATGCGAAACTTTTGCCAAAATATGCTTTTTATCTTATAATTTTCCATTTCAATATTATCTACACACAAAGTAACCTTGTAACTTCTTAAATCAGCATTGTTTCTCTCCTATGCTGTTTCATAATTGTAGACAAAAATGTCTAATAAAAGCCAAGCTACTGAATTTATTTTTGTTAGGGTGCTAAAGTATTGGTTAAAATATTCCTTGGAAAACAGAATCTCATTTTTCTTGCATTTACAGAGCAGCTTTTGTGGCACTGCCTGCTGTTGCAATTCATGTAGTTTTATGCCTAAGGCTGAGAATCGCTCACTCATAAATATGTTGTTATAGAAAAATACCATATTGTATTGTTAACGTAACAAACTTTTTTTGACCTGTAGGTTGTTTTCTAGTCTCAGTGTTATCACAGAGCTCACCCACCCAGCCAACGTGAGATTCATGCACTTCAGAGCCTTGCTCTTTCAAAAGTCGAAAAGGTGAGTCACATTGAACTATTTCGGTTGAAAGAATAACTCTGGAAATTTCTCTGTATAGAAAGAAATGTCATGATATAGTAAAAATAAAAATGCTGTTTTGAATTGACTTTGGGGGGCTAAAATCTTAATTTATACATTTTAAAAAAAGGTGAGTTGATAGATTTGAACTGTTTCTATCACAAGTGAAGTGACTTCGTTTACATTATTTTCCGCAGTGCAACGTATCACACTATTTTCTCTGAGTTTGTGAAATCCATCGGAAAATTTTCTGAACATCATGTTCTCGATTGCATTTTCATTTGATCTTTCTTGTCCATTTTCGTCGCTGAGTTGCTTTGTTTTGTTTTACATTATCCTTCTTCTCGTGGACATTCCCATTACTGCCACTGTTTTCCCAATGCCGCTTCCCATGTTTGGTCACTAGTCAGAGGGGGTCACTGACACTCTCGCTAACGAAGCAGGTGTAACAGGCGTCGGAAGCACAGTACAAGAGCTAAATAAGCAGAGATGGACGATGCGACAAGAAATAATGAAACGGAGAAGACGACAATAATAGAAAGAAGAAATCTTCACCTCATTTCCTTCTCAAGACTTATTTCATTTCTCTCGATTTGATGCATTTCATAAAAAAAGCCTTTTATTCATGCGTATGGCACAATTTGCTTCGAGACCGCTTCCTTTAAAATTGCTTTTGAATTATCATCATTCCCCAGTAATAGTCATAATTACACTTAAGCAATCATGTGGTAATTACGCACTGATGTAAGAAGCAAAGTAATAAAAATGTGAGACGAATAGTGTGTTACAACAAGAAAAATATATTTGGTCTTTGGCCCTGGTTTCTGACACATATCTTCAAAAACCCTTGACATTTCCTGAGTGATAGGAGCGTCTTTTGTTATTCATATTTTTCGATCATATCCGATATTATGCTAACGAGGCAACAGATGGAAGTCTTCTGGCAGGGGTACAAAAACAAAAAAAATAGTCTACACTCACCAGGGAGTCATTCATTGGAACTCCTGTTCATCTTTGAAAATGATGATATAATTTTTATCGACATCCCTCCATATCATAAAACCTTTTAACAAAAGGTTTGTGCATCCTTTGTTTATTTAACATGGACTAGGTATTTAAATATTATATTTAAATTCACATCATTCCTTACTTAAAGCCAATCTCTTCGGCGATTGTTTTTATGCTTAGTGAAAATCAGTCAAACTTTTTTCAGTCTCACTCAAGACCTAATTTCTCCAGTGAACACCTAGTCAAGGAGAGTGGACTCTCTCTAATTACTGGGTCAAGGTTATTTTCTAACCTTCTTAGTTCCAAAGTGCCCGCAGTGGGACGCGTCCGCTGCTTCTGGACACATTCTGGGTGGTTCTAATTCTTCACCTCTTTTCAGTGCGGTCCCTGCCTTCCACGAGCTGTTTTGTCTTCCAGGCCTTGCTTAATCATGCTGTGTCTCAAAAATCAAACTAGAATGGAGAGTAAGACCAAGTATTAGTCATCTGTAATTCCTTTTTTCCCATATTTTCCAAAATAGCACTTATAAAGTGCAGTTCAAAGAATCAATCGAACTTCATTGTCAAAAAGTTAAAGACAGACACTGACTGACTGTGGAACGCGGTCTTATCAGAACGGACGAGCCACCTGAGTTCTCATGACTCTGGGGACGGAGTTTTGGCATTTCACCTGCTGGGAAGTACTGAGAAGTCGCCTGAGAAATCGTTTGGGTGCCAGGCCACGGAGCACCCGGCTGCGGAGTCCTGGGAATTGCCTGGGTCGTGAACGGGGAGCTGGGACACGTCAAGTGAGCACACGGGGGATGTGGCATCATCGGACTCGCGCTTCCATCGGAAGTGACGTGGGAGCGGTGGCCAGAGCTCTCGGGTTGACTAACTTCCATTTTAGGAGAGCGCGAGATCGAGCTGACAGAAAAGTCTCCAGACTGACGCTTCTAAGCGGAGTTTGGGAACAGATCCCAACGCTAATGTTTGGGTTTAGACGTCCCAGGTGACACGTTGACAGCCAAAGAATAGATGGTCACACCGAGAGCAGAGAGAAGGCTGGGGTTGCACCTGTGTCCTAATTACTAAATGATCGCTTTCCTCAATGTTCTTCCTCTTTGGTTTTCAAACAGTGTGTGATGTCACGTCTTCCTCTCCGTGCCGAAATCCGCTCAGAGTCCCCGTTCCTCTGGGCCCCCATCTGCGCCCGCCACCGTGTGCCCTCTCCCGCCTCCCCGCCCGCCCCCACACACACGTCACCTCTGGAAGACTCCCGTGCCTCTCCTCCACCGCCACCGAGTCACGACTAGGCTCTGAGTATAAACAGATTCGTTCTCTATTCCAGCTAAGACTGCCATCGGAGACAAAAACAAAAATCGATTAAAAAAATTAAGAAATGAGGAAAACTGCAATAACCTAGAAGCGGGCTTCGCCACCGTGTGCCCCACGCCCCTCGTTAGCTAGCAGAGTAGACAGGAAGAGGGTCACGGTCCTCCGTCCGGGAAATCCTGGCGAATCACAGCGGTCAGCCCTCAAGGACTGGAAACGACAGGAGAGGCCAAGTGCAACCCCAACCATCCTGTGGTTCCCACTCGGCCCCGCGACAGGTCCTGGTCTCCGAGTCTCGGGGGTCTCAGCCCTTCGCTCTGGCTTCTTACGTCAACGTGGGGTTAAGCTACCGTGGCTTTGGCCTCCCCGGGATGCTTCCCACACCTCAGGAACCAGATTCGGTCCCAAGTTCACAGGAAAAGCTAATAACCCTGCAATCGAGACAGATCACTCCAGCCATCTCCAGCCGCCTACATGGACTGTTCAAACGAGGCTTTCTTGACACTCAGGCTAATAAATGAGAGAATATATTGCGACCTAGTGGACACAGACACAAATTGGGACACCGCCTGGCTGTCCTTCCTCCGACCTTCTCCCTACATCTCAAATGAGGACGTTCTTAGAGTCTTCTCAGCCAGATGGACACGAGTGATATGGCGGACTGACCCCTCCTGCTCCTTGGAGGGGTGGGCGCCGAGTCCCAACCTTGTCCTTCTCCCAGGGGAGCCAAAGTCAAGTCACTGTCGACCCGTCAGCACAGCGAGCAGCAGCCGTAGCCCTGTTCATCTCCACGACTCATCCTTCAGCCAGACCCCCTCTGAAATGGTGGACGGGAGGTCCCCCTGCCCGTGTGGTCCCCCACATCTGCTACATTAAGAGTGAGGGTTTGCTTCCACTGCCCCAAGAGTAAAGGCTGCTTTTCTTACTTGCTTAGCTGTATCTGTCTTGCTCAGTGAAAGGAAGTTGGCAACAAATGAAACCAGCATTTTTGAGATTACCAACAGCTAAGAGTAATCTGCATTTTTAACCAATACCTTCTAGTCTTACACAAATATTTGTTCTCATGTCTTCATTTATGAAAGGAAAATAACAGCAACAGAATTTTTCAGAAGAAACTCCCATACGCCATAAGACACACACACGCAACTCATTTTTTTCTTTTTCTTCTCTCTCTTTTCTTTGTTTTTCATTTACAAAAGCTTAGCTGTGCATTGGCGCAGCTGGCACAATTTAAAGGGCATGAAGAGAAAGAACTCAGATGACAGGAGCTAGAAGAAACCCCTCACGTGACGGCTCCAGCCCGCCCACTGCTCTGCCCGCACACAGGAGAGTGTTCCATACGGATCTTCTACGTGTTATGATAAGTTACGCGGCTTTGGGGTTTTATGTTTAGTTTCATGAAATAATTTTATTGGGCTCTCTTCAGAAGTAGGTATGAAGAATAAATAAATGTTGACTGTCTAAGGGATTAACCTTTCTTAACTATTGGCTATTTTAATTGATCAAGAAACCTTGGTTATGAAAATTAGATATATTAAAAATACAATTATAAATGAAGTAATGACACATTCACAGCTGAGAACCATGTAATAAAAATACCTTGTTCACATGTGTCAGGAAAATTTAACTAAGCACAGAAGCATAAAATACAGAATGCTCACGAATTTTTCGATTTCGAATTTTCTGAACAGAAAGAATGAGGGAGAGGTTCTAATTTGGCTTTTATGTTCCGACTGCCTTTTGCTGCGGGGAGGGTGTTTAGCATCAGTATGCTGGACACACTTCTTTACCAAGTATGCGATCTTTTCTTTTTGCTCTCTAAATTGCTTATTTTATATTTCACTTAGATTTTATTAAACAAATGATTTAACTAGCGTTAAACTCAGCACTGGCTCTGGAAGTAATTCAATACTTTATTTCATGTATTTAAGGACATCAGTGTGCCTATGAAACATTTTGTAAGAAAAATATATTTTTCAGAACAATCTCTGAAATAATTTTTAGGCATTCTTTAGCACCAGTGTCTTACAATGTTTATTGTGACATTTTAATATATGTTGCATGTTGCTATATCTTTATTACTAAACTAAAAACAAAAAGCTAAGGAAAAATTACTAGGTTAAAAAAACAGCCTATTTCATAATACATATTTGTATTATGTCATCTTTATGATGACATATTTTATGTACCTTCTTCTGCAATGCTTGACTGAACAAATTAAAGACAGTTAAAGCTTTTCTATTGGTCTTTGGGCTAATGACACCCCTGAGTGTGCCTCTAGCAATGTCACATGTCACAAACCACCTGCTTTCGCCAGATGAGTGCGGGAACAAAGCCAGCGCAGGAGAATGAACAAGCACTCCTGTTTGCCCTAAAGTTCCTGGGCACATTAGTGGGCACTGCAGGGGGCGGGGGCTCCCACACTTTGCAAACACCGTTACCCATCTGCACACAATTTTGATCATTACTGAGGGGATCACAGGGGAGGAAAAGCAATAATTTCTTTCTCTTCATTTTTATCTCACATCTTTTTTTTTGTAATAAATAAGATACCAGAAGTTCTGTGTTTTCTAGATCTATTTCAGAAACAGTGAACTAGAAAAATAACTTTCAAAGTAGTAACTGCCTATTTACTTTCTCTTGACAGCAAATGAGATATAATCAAGGTCCATTTTTCAGATAGGTGAAAAGGACTAAAGTCATGGGTTAAAGATATAAAAACTTATATATACATATATAATTCCTAAAATTATATAATAAGCATTCTTATATTTTTAAAATATACTATATAGCATCTAATTATGATGGTTAATGAATTAAGCCCATCTTCTTATGGATAAATATTTATATTGTATATTTAAAAACTATTATTAATGACTACAATCGTGTAGTGATTTGTTATGAATGTAATTCTATCCGAGACACCGTTGTGTTCATTTTCCCAAAGGAAACTGATCCTGGCAGCGTTATCAGTCACGGTGTGTAGGTGACACGTGAGGGCTCACAGAGAGACTATCCAGTGGTTAGTGTGACCCCTCGACCTCCGGCCATGCACACGTCATTGGATCACTCCTGCCCCTGCCCCTGTCCCTGTCCCTGTGGGAAACGATCCCGCCCTTGTATAATGTTTGAGTTTTTATGGTACTTTTTTTTTTTTAACTTACTGAAAGATTTTTTTCCTTTGTTACATCTTAAAAGTCTCTTCCTCCTTCCCACTTGAAACAGATTACTTTCATATTTTTGATAACTTTTCTTATTTATCATCTGTGTAAAGCTGGGAAACCCATTATTAAAAAAATTATTATCTAAAATAAAATTAAATAGAAACTAAGTGGAACTGAAAAGATGCTTCTGTGGTTGAATTTCGTGAGATTTACTGCAGGGGTTTGTAGCACGTGAGGCTGCACACATTTTTCTGGCTCACTCCTAATCCTTGTCTGTGCCCTAAGGAAGTTACAGGACAAATGACCTCTGGATAAGGGATGTGCTGGTGACAAATACTGTACACAAATTAGCTGTATTACCGCATCTGACTCTAAAATAACTTAAAACAGTCATTTGCCAGATCTTTAGTTTACTTTCTCTTCCATGAGTACTTCCTATTTTTCATCTTGGAAAATAATAGTTTTAAGTGCCTGAGAATTTGTTTTTAAATCCTTTTTTTTTTTTTTTTTTAGCACACACTGAGTTAGAAATGGAGTTAAATGACACTCTCTATAAAGGCGAATGTCATAACTTTTCTTGGTGGCCCCCTATATGTTCGTGTCCTAATAAGAGACTAATACACATTGAAAACCAAAACATCACTTCTTTGGCCTGAATAAAGGAAATGGACATGTTTATTCTCCTCTGTGTGGAAGGTTTAGCTTTCTGATACCAGGGGTTGGTAAAATGAACTAGTAATCAAGGAAGTGGGTTAGCAGATTTACTTAAAAGGTGTTATAAATTTTAAAAAGTCTTTACTATGCAAAATAAGATTATTGACATTTTTCACTTTTAAATATTTGAAGAACAGACTGAAGGCAGTCATTTCATATGATTTATAAATAACCGTTACGTTATGGTAAAACATGCCTTGTCTTGCTTGAAAGCTTTTCTTTTCACTGGGAGCTAAGAATAAATCGAAGAAACTGGAAGCATCATTAACACTCTAAATACTGAGCAGTGTTCTAACAACATGTTAAACTATGTCTTATTGCTAGACCATAAAATAGTCTGGTAATGACATTTAATACTAAACTATTAATTCATTAATATTTAGATGTATTTAAATATTAGAAATTTATTCTACTGGCATAGAGCTTAATCCTAAAAAAAACTTGTTGAAATATTTCATTGCAAATTTTGGTTCTTTCAAGTTTTTATGATCTTTTCTATTTCATATCAACTCATATTTTTGTTATTAAAACCTAAAGATGATTTTTATCATGTCTAAAAGCATGCATAAAATTTGAGCATATCAGAATATCTAGAGAATCATTTTTTCCCATATCTCCTTATGGACAGCGTAACGGTGCATGTGTATTTAGGACTCTGACAAGATAGATTTTTATTTCCTTTTTTATGGAGGCTCAATGATGTGTTACGAGAAATGACCTTTTAGAAGTGATATGGTGTCCACACTCTAGCTACTCTGCACATTTCATACCCGTACTAAAGAGCTGTTTTATTTATGTTGCAGTCATTTGTGAAGGACTATATGATTTCTTTCACCAGACTCCTGCTGGGGTCAGACACCACCCCAGGGTCGGGCTTCCTTTGTTCTGTAAGTTAATCATTTCTGGGATAGAAGATTGTTCGCACAGACAGTCTGAAATCCATCTAAATGGACTTTGGCTAACTCTTCTATGTCATTTTCTTCCCTAATATCTGCTCAAAGACTAGCATCATGGTTTTTTAATTCCTTAAAATATGTTCAAGGGAAAAACATTATTTTAAATTAATAATCATGATAAATAGCCGTTCTGTCCACAGTTCGGGTGTTTTTTTCCTAGCTGGAGATTTGAGGTCGAAGGTTTCTGACCCAGGAGGCCATGCTGTGGAGGGCAACGGCGATGATACAGTTGGCCTCTGTGTTTTACGGCTGAGTGTGCCAGGACTAAGTGTGTTTCATGAAGTGACTTGCCAACGATTCAAATTTAGGACTAGCAGAGGGACTAGGTGTTACGCCTCTAGTCTGCGAGCCTTGCTCATTCTCCTCAAATCTTCCTCAATGCACGTGTCATGAGAACTTTGGATGGACAGTTCTTTTTTGTGCCGAAGTGTCCTTCGCACTCTAAAATTTGTAGCATCGGCAGACCCTGTCCACTAACTCCAGTAGCAGCCTCTAGTTATTGCACATTCAGAAAAGCATCTCCCAGTCAATGACCAGAGCTTAACGTCTCCTGGATTGAATGAATACAACGTCATGCTGCCACAAATGAGTAGTTGGTTTCTTAGGTTTGAGGAAACCCCAGGAAGAAGGCTGAGATGGGGTGCAACTAATCAGTTTAACACATAGATAAGCACTTGTGACCTGGCACTTTGAGAATTCTAAATCTCAACAGAGTCTACCCTTAAGAAGTGAAAAATAACCACTGGGTTTTTATGTCTTCCAAAGTTAATATGTAAATGATTCGTATGTATCCTAGATGGAAATCACCGAAGATGACTTAGGGATGAGAACGTACGCTCGCCTTGATCAGAAGTTGTGTTCTTCTTCTGGGAACATCCCCATTGGGAGCTACTGGACTGAATCTCAGAAAATGACTACAGCTGAGGTTTGGAACGAGCCCAATCTTCCTTTGAACGTCTCATCTGGCTGAATGCAGCCATTCCCAGTCTTGGAAACTGATTTCTGAAAAATGTCAAAGAAACAAAAAGAATGCCGTCGGACATGTACTGGTGGTTTCCAGCAAAAACAAAAACGAACAGAAAACACCTGATCATTTACTTGTTTAGTAAACTACGCCAGAATTTCTCAAAATATTGTTGGCTAAGGGACTATTCCAGAGTTTATGGATTTGGGGCCCTGAGTATCTTCTGTAGATCTAGGATTTTTAATTTCTAGAAGATTATAAGGAAGCAAATGAATTCTCAGTAACATTCTGATGTATAAGAAATGTTCTCAAAGCAAGCAATCTAGCTTTCTGATGAACTCCTCAACTGCATGTATTAGCATTTATTTAAATAAAGGAATCAAAACAAAGACAAGTTAGTAAGCACTGAAACTCACACTTTTCAAACTCTAAATTAAAGACTACCCTGAAGCCAAGAAAAAAACTCAAGTAGCAATGCCAGACCTTCCCAGCGGAAGGCTCAGTAATTTTAAGAGCAAACTAGAGTCTATTAATACACGACACAATTTCTGATGGCTGCTCGCTGCTGCGAACTTTCCTACATTTTGATTTGGTCACATTATGTGGTTCTAAATAGTTTATATACGCTTAGTTAACCATCACATTTTAAATTAGACTCTTTCATGAAATAAAAATTTTGGATAAATGCACTATCTTATCTGTGTTTATAAAATTATAAAATTAATATAAATGATGCTTTATATATTTTTTGATGGTTTATATTCTTGACATATTCTTCTTCAGATACCTCAAGGTTATTTAAAATTTTGGTTAACCATTTCTCTTTATGATCTTACACAAAATTACCTCAACAATGAGGCTCAGATCAGTTATGTCCATTTCAGTAGGACATGTAATCATTAAATCAATTTGCGATAAAATTAATGAATCCTTGTATAGAAAAGAGCTTTCTAGGAAGCATAAGATTAATGGAGTAAATTTTGTTGTTGTTGTTGTTAAGATTTGTAGTTTGACACTTAAATAAGAGATATTGAGGCCAGCAGAAAATAGTTTAGTTTTTCTTTCTGGTGGCTTCGGGAATGCTAAAAGGAGATTTATTGGCATCTGTGGGGCTTAATCCAATGTTGTCACTCACTGACTGTGGTCCCTGTGGGTCACACCACAGACAGCAAGACCAAATTAGAGAAAATTAGGAATGACTGACAGGAGAAATGTAGCAGACAGTTAAATAAGATAGTTTGGTCAGATATGCCTAAAATTTTAAAATCACTGGATCCAAAAAAATTATCTGATTAAAAATTAAGAGAAGGCAGATTTTTTTTGCACTTAAATAATCATTTCATATATGAACCTGGCTAAGTACAAAGATTTTTATATAGCAGAGGATTGTCATGACCTTGTCTTCTACATAGGCTTTGTGAACTTGGACATTTGGACTCTGTCCTTGGTCAAGTGAATATCCACGTCAGACATTTTGTTTTATTAAAGAACTTTGTTGTATGCTGTTCACGGTAAGGACATCTGAGACTGTGTACTGCCATTAAGGAGCATTTAGCATTATAAGTTGGTCAGTTCTTCCTATCACAAATAAAGATCATCTCAGGAAAATGTTTATAAATCTCCAAACCTCTAGCTCATATGAAAAACACACATCTTTGGAAAGAATAAAGAAAACTGGGTAAAATAAACATGACACCTCATGTCTTCTTGTGTGAAACTCAATTTATCTTTTGGCACATTTATTTTCTGCCTATTATAGAAAGTGAGATGATTTAAATACTTAAAGGTAAAAATAGGACCATCAAGCATTTTTACAGCACAGTATATTAAGGGCAGAAAAATATCTAAAGACAGAGAAAGTAATATTACTCTGCATCCAAAATGAACTGACTACTGCAGTTGAGCTGGAATTCGACTTTTATTTTCCCGTCGAATAAAGCAAAAAGAAAACTGTTGCATTAAATGATAAAAGGAAATATGGGAGAAAGTGTTGTTTTCCTGGTCTGGTCCCTATCAGAAGAATGAGCATATTATGTGTGTCCTTATTTAAGAGCTTATACAACGTGATCGGCAGGGTTCGATTTTCAATCGTGGTTTCGCAAGATGCAAAAGTGCCAGTAAGTGAATATCCTTTAAGTCAGACTTGTATTTAAATAAAAAAGAGGGGAACGGTAATGAAATATCAACTCAGGGAAGACACTGGGTTTTATGGAAAGCAGGCAGCAGTGTGAGGTCAGGGGGCCCCCAGGACGGGGTACCAGCAAGGACGAGCACCAGCAAGGACGAGCAACCTGGAGCAGAGCAGGGGCTTCGGTGAGATTTTTTTCAGACAGATGACATCTGTCATCTCGATGTTCAAAGATTAGACAAGTGCCCAAGAGTTTAGGATGAAGTATTGATAAATAGCATCCTAATTAATCAATACAATAAGACACTTAAAACTCTAGGAACAAACCACCACCAACAAAAAATTTATGCAGAAATGAATAGTAAACACGTTTCCTGTGTAGCTCATCTATAAATTGTATTTAGTCATAATATGCCCTGAATTTTGATCTAACCAATAGTATACTTGAACAACTTTGAAATGACAGGAGATGGAAAAGGTAGTGAAATAGGTGGAAGACTGTTAATTCCTCTTCTTCCAGAGTGAGAAGTTAATAGATAAAAGTAGCAACTGCAAAATATATCAAGCATGTTACATAGAATCAGAGAGATAAAAGCCTGTTAACAAATCCAGCTTAAAGAGGTAAATGCAGATGCATCTTAAGAGGGAAATAAAAGATATTATGGCGGGAGTTTCTATAAAAATAGCATTTTCTGACTATTTACATTATGTATTTATACCTGATAAAAGCAACAACTAATAATCTTGTAGCCATGAAGTATTCATATTAGACCTATTCATTGATATTTCTGCACTTTATACTTTCAAGTGTTAAATTCTATCCTATTCTATCAAGAATTTTTTAACAAATGCCAATATTTCATATAAACGTGTCATAAGAATAAATAATATAAAGACTCTAGGCCTTGCTTCCTTGTCGTTTCACAGAGTTAACAGAAACATATCTTAAAGGCAGATGCAGGTTTGTATGCCATGTCACCTCTAGTCTGTTGTCAGTGTCTTACCAAATTCTATGTAGAGACAAAAATAGTTATTACAAGTTATATTGCTTATAATAAGTAGAAGAAACACTGAATACTTTAGCAGACATTTCTGAGAAGACAAATGATGATAAAGGATATTTACAATTAAAATTACAAAATTGATAAAAGGCCTGGAATGCAACCTCAGAGTTTTCTGGTGGGCTATGTATCTGGTGGAACATGTTAGGGAGGAGGATTCAGGCAAACACAGAGTCGAGTGGGGATGTGGACCGTGGCTGGAAAATGAGTCTGTGGAAAACGGGGTGCAGCTGGATCTGCCCCTTCTCAGCTGGTCATACATCACCACACCAGAAGAACTTCTACCACCATCTATATGTGTCTGTCTAAGGGAATTTTTATAAACATCAGAATCTCCTGGTTCAAACAAAAAGACAGACAGACAAACAAAACAAAGGACCTCTTAGTGACAAAGAAGAATAATATTTCTGTCTACAATCCTTTATCTACAATTCGGACATCCCAAAAGCTCACTAAATTCATTTGGAGGCAAAACTTCACTTAAATTGTCATGAGATTATTTATAATATTTATTATTCCAATTAAAGTGAATATTCATATTTTTCATCGAAGATATCTAAAATTTTTTATTATAAAATGTTACCCAAGACCCACGAGGGGCATAACCTACAATACAATATATGATATAGTGCTGTCTTTCCAAAATCTGAAAGATTAAGAATTAGTAAATGTCTTTGTCCCTATTTTTCTTTTTTAGGTAAGAAAATGTAGAACTGTATTTGCCTCCAGTTTTCTAGTGTACTGAAAATTGCGTTTGCTTGAAGTGTCTATTACCAGTGAAAATTTTACCAGATATTAGTAAAGGATCCTTTTAAAGCATATTAAAGTGCCAGCATCTTTACAATGTACACAGTCAATTTGTGGAAAATGTTAGTCTGATTGTCGGTCACCTGCATAGTCATTAACCCTGTAACTTTAAAAATGTGCACAATAGAGTAATAATTGACTCTCCCATCTACCAACCACTGAGTCTTTAAACTGGAATGCGATATTTAAAATATATTATTAATATAAAACTTTACTTTGTACAAAATCATACTATTCAAATTATTTTAACAAAAATTAAGAAAGAATAGTTTCAAAACTCTAGTTGCTCATTCTCCGCTGTTATTCACTAAAACGACATTGATTCCCTTCAAAATTTTACTTCTACCTATTGAAAAGTGAATAGAATATTATCCTTTAAAACTGAAAAATAAGATAGCATAAGTTTTACAACTCCCAGATACTTAGGGGTTATTTGGTGACTGAGCACATCAGTTTTTTGGAGTCTACAGACAATGTGAAAGCTCAGAATATTTCTGTGAACTTCCTTAAATTTATACGTAGGGGAAAAACAAAAACAATCTTATTATAAGATCTGATTTTAAAATAGTACAGATCTTAATAATGATTATATAGACCAATAATGATTATCGAATGTCAATAATTATGTCAAATATTCTCATGAATATAGCAGTTTCCAAAGCTCCAATCGTTTTATTTCCTTCTAGCATGACTTTTTCTTTCTATCAAAGCTTAGATAATTTTTTGAAACCCTCCAACAAAAACAAACAATAAACAATCTAACAACAACTTTCTGGTAAACTAAAAATAATAGCTTATTCTTTACACAACTTTATTCAAAGGCTCCATGATAAATAACAAAACACACAATTAGATTATCCATGTGATGTGGGTATTTGTCATATTTTGTCCTTGTTGCTGATTGTTTCATGTGTGTAAACTTGTTGAGTCATCGGTTAAACTGTACTTGGTGTGTTTTTTTTCCT